ACCCCAAACAGACCCCTATAAACACCGATTCTCACCATCGTCTAAACGAGCTCGTGCGGTGTTCCATTCGCTGGCACTAGTGCAATAGCTATCGAACAYGGACATCTCCACTGTGCAGACAAGAAAAATGCAGAAAAGGATGAAAGCACCTCCCTTAAACCCTTCCAAACATTGATTCGGCCGGTCGAGAAGGCGACCCCCGATTCGCGCGCCGGGAATATCGACGTGCGACARCACGCAGAAACACAAGCATGYCCGTGTCAAGACTCGGCACAYCGCGACGGTGAAAACCCTTGGGGGGGCAGAAAAGATCGTGGGTGYGAAAAATTGCTCGCCTTCTGAAATGCCCTTGAAGGGGTTAATGGGGTTTGCCTTCGGTGACAACGGTCGTGTCCCTTATTTTCGGCAACCCCCATGAACCCCTTCAAGGGCATTTCAAAGGGCGAGCAATTTCTCGCACCCGCAGTCTTCTCGCAATCAACTCACAGTCGAAGCTCCARGCGCCATGCGGAGGACAGATAGATTTGCGCTGATCCTCAAAGTCCGCCTGGATCCGAACTTGGCGGATTTGCCTGCAGCGAGTAACAGGTTTTCGCACAGCTGCAAGTATTGGAACGGGTGGATGGCGTTTGCACAGCAGGCGATGCTCGGCCGCACCTCATTTAGGGCGGCGATGAAGGAAGATCCACGGCACATCGGAAATGCACCCGGCCAGTGACACCGTCGTCAACCCCAATAAACCCCTTTCAGGGCAACTCACAAGGCGAGCATTTTTCCGCACTACCAGGCCGCCGGCATAGAAGACGGACTGGGCAGTCCAAGCTGTTGAAAATAACGGTCAGATTCACGGGGAGCCTCTAAGTTCGCCGGGATCCGAATTTGGCGGGTGTAGGAGTAGCAAGGAACCTGTTTTCGCGCGACTTGTGTCAGTGGAAGGTAGCGCCAGTGGGTGCACACAAGGAACGCTATGTTTGGGCAAACAGAAGGAAGACTCTGTTGTCGGTGAACGATAGCACGCGCAGAACAGAGGGTAGTGGTGGATGCACTACCACACAATTTGGCGCAGCGTGACCCCAAACTGACCCCCATAAACTCGATTCTCACCATCGTCTAAGCGATCTCGTACAGTTTTCCGTTCACAGGTACTAGCGCAAGAGCTTATCGAACTCGGACATCCCCACTGCGTAGACAAGAAAAATGTAGAAAAGGATGAAAGATCCCCCCTTCAACCCTTCCAAACATTGATTCGGCCAGTGTAGAAGGCGACCCCCGATTCTGCGACAAGACTCCGCACACCGCGACGGTCAAAAACCTAGGGGGGCAACAAAGATCGTGGGCGGGAAAAATTGCTCGCCTTCATAAATCCCCTCGAAGGGGTTAATGTGGGTTGCCGGCAGTGACAACGGCCGTGTCCCTTATTTTCGGCAACCCCCATGAACCCCTTGAAGGGCATTTCAGAGGGCGAGCAATTTCTCGCACCCACAGTCCTGTCACAGTCAACTCACACTCAAAGCTCCAGGCGCCACGCAAAGGACGGATAGATTCGCGTCGATCATCAAAGTCCGCCAGGATCCGAACTTGGTGGATTCGCCTGCATTCGTAAGGGTGGATGGCGTTTGCACTGAAGCAGGCGTTGCTTGGGCGCACCGCAATTTGGGGCGCCGATGAACGAAGATCCACGGCACACCGGAAATGGAGCCGGCCAGCGACACCGTCGTCAASCCCAATAAACCCCGTTCAGGGCAACTTACAAGGCGAGCAATTTTGCGCAATACCAGGCCGCCGGCATTGAAGACGGATGGAGAAGTCCAAGCCATCGAAAACAACAGTCAGATTCATGCGGCGCCTCGAAGTCCKCCGGGATCCGAATTTGGCCGGTGCGGKWGTAGCAAGGAACCTATTTTTGCGCGGCCGGTGTCAGTRRAACGGAGCGCCAATGGRTGCACACAATGAACGCTATCCTCGGCCGCACAGAAGGAAGGCTCTGCAGCTCTCAAGCTGTGGTKGAACGTCAGCACGCGCAGAGCAAAGGGCAGCGATGGATGCACCACCACAAAATCGGGCGCAGCGCGACCCCAAACTGACCCCTAGCGCAAGAGTTCATCGAGATCGGACATYCCAACCGCGCAGACAAGAAATATGTAGAAATTGATGAAAGACCCCCCCTGCAACCCTTCCAAACCCCGATTCGGCCAGTCGACAAGGCGACCCCCGATTTGCGCACCGGTAACGTCGACGTGCGAAAGCGCGAACCGGAAACCAGGCAGAAACACGAGCATGTGTGCGACAAGAATCCGCGCACCGGGACGGTCAAAACCCTCTGGGGGCAACAAAGATCGACGACACACAGACAAGGGACATGGCCGCTATCACCGTCGGCAACCCCCACAAACCCCTCGAAGGGCATCTCAGAAGGTGAGCAATTTTTCGCACCCACAGTCCTCGCGCAATCAACTCACACTTGAAG